GTCAGGCGTCTGCGGATTTGGAAGGATTTTCCATCAACACAAAGACAGAGACAGCTTTCGAGTGCTCCTGAAGACGGAATCTTCACGCATCCTGTGCTACATATGCAGATATACATATATATATATATATATATATAGATATGTATGCATGCACATACGCGCACACATTTTTGTATATGTCGGCATGTATTCGGTAGTTGTAACTAATTGTCTTGTTTTTATGTACACAAGGTATGTGTAAGCACCCCACACCCCTTGTTGTTACCCTGTCGTGCTGTTGCTGTCAACGGTCACCTACGAATACTGGCACAGCTACAACAACAACTAGTACTACTACTGCTCCTACTCCGACGACGACGACGACGACTACTACTACTACTACTACTACTACTACCGCCGCCGCCCTCACCGCCACCACCGCCACCACCGCCACCACCGCTACTGCTGCTCCAAAAACCACGATCAGTAATGTTGTTATGCGTGTTGATATGCCTTTTGTTTTTATGGGAATGGCAGGAATTTTCCTCGGCATCATCATGACTACTTGAAGGCTCATGGCACTTAATAAGTAAGGTTATAAGTAAGCTATAAGTAGGATAACCCCACTTAGGGGATTCATAACCCCAACTATAACCTACTTACTAAGTCCCATGGTCCTCTAAGTAGACCCTAAACCCTAAACCCCATAGATCCCTTTAAGGAACCCTATAGATCCCTTTAAGGAGCCCTTTAAGGAACCTTACTTACTAAGTCCCATGGTCCTCTAAGTATGCTTCGCAGACGCAGGCTTTAAATGGCTTCGGCTGGCCTCAGCAGGAGGTACACGGCTTGAGACTTGTTTTTGCCGGTTCTGACGCTTCGGGTTCTTGTTTTGGGGCGGTCTTTGCTGGTGCTTGAAGCACACCAAGTTAACACATACCCTAAGCCCTAAATTCCAAACTCAAGCCCCCAATGCATCTTCTTACTATAGAAGCCGAAATAATTGCCAGCATTATTCCTTGGGGTTCCTTGTTAGAACTGTACTAAAGGAGCCTAAAACCCTATTCTGATCATTAAGGCCCCTATGTTGCCTCAGCCTCTACTGGAGCTGCGCAGAGATCTCTGCGTGCCCAACCCTCGCACTCCGACCGTCAGAGGGTTTCGGAATGTTTCTGAGCATTCATAATTACCTATACTATTTTGGGGGTTCAATGCTGTAATTGTAGTACGATATATACAGCAAAGCCTTATTCTAATTAATTATTGAGGCCCCAATATCAGAGTACCCTGAAAGGACCCTTTAAAGGAACCCTATTCTAATTTTTGAGGCCCCTATACTACCCTAGAGCTAAACCCCTTCTCAATCCTAAGCCCCAAAACCCTAAATCTCACGGCCCCAAAATCCCAAAACTCCGAAACTCCTCCACCCTAAATCGCACCCTAAAGCTAAGCCCTTTCTAAACCCTAAACCCCCAGCGAAGGCGCCGCCTCCGCTGCCGCCACCGGCGACTTCGCCGCCAGCTTCGAGGCTGCCAAGTGCCCGGGTTTCGGCTTCAGGGGTGCCTTTTGCTTAGGGGTACTTATAGGGTTTAGGGTTTAGGGATATGATGATATACCTTATTTTGGGGTCCTTATAACAAGGATCCTACTACTATTCAGGGTGCATTTTCCTCGGGGTACTTATAGGATGGGGTCTGCCATTTGGGAGTTTCCGAAAACTACGGGGTACCTTAATTTGGGGGTACTTATAGGTGTTGGGTGTGGGGCTTAGGGATAAGATGATATGGGAGTTTCCGAAAATTAGGGGTAACTTGTTTTGGGGTCCTTATAACAAGCATCCTACTACTATTTAGGGTACTATAGTAGGGTCCGCCTTTTTCGGAAACTCCCATAATATGTGTATATATATATATATATATATATATGGAAATATCTTCTAATGTTGGTTCCTTTACAGAACCCCTAAGGAGCAGCTAAAATTGTCAGTTTTGCTAGGGTCTAAGTTCAGTGTACTTCAGGGGTGCATCTTGGGTCCAGCAAGACTCGAGACGCATGCGGACTACTGGGTCCATGGCCAGTGTAGCGAGGGCGCTGGATCTTCAGCAGCCTGTTGGCAGAAGTGGCAGAACCCCTAAACCCCAAACCCCCAACCCTAAACCCCAAACCCTACGCTAAACCCCAAAACCCTAAACCCCAAACCCTAAACACTAAACCCCAAACCCCGAACCCTAAACCGTGGATCAGCCTGTTTGGAGAAGTGGCAGACCATAACATTTGTAAGACTGAGTCCCCTTTCCAAGTTCATGGGTTTAGGAGTCCATTGGGTTAGGGATCTGGGGCTTAGGAGTCTGATTATATGGTTGAGGGATTTAGCTGTGCAGGATGATGCAGTAAGATTGACGAAGCTCCATGATTTTGATGGTGACGGAGTTAAGATGAAGATTGAGGCCATGTTTGATGGCGATGGTGAAGACGACGGAGATGATGATGGTGATGGCATTGCTGTCGCTTGCTATTGTTGTTGGCAATGCTGATGACGGTGAGCGATTATTGCAGGTACGTGTTAGCTGCCATTCGTTTTGCTGGCTGCAAAGTGTCCATGGTCTTAAATCTGGTTCTTGTTACTTTGGACATCACTGAAAGTCCTATTGCTTCCGAAAATCCTAACAAAGCCTGAGCAGGAGGGCTCCTGGGCCATGCAGCTTCTCGAAGGCCCGCAGTGGCCAAGGGCTTCGAACGCCTAGATGAAGGTAGGTTTAGGGACTAGGGATTAGGGTTTAGGAACGAGAGATGAGGGTGTGGGCATTCGAACACGATAACAAGACAAGATCCCGTAGATCAGAGATCTTCATTCCTGCCTACATTCATCCCTTTTTCAGGCTTTTGTACTGGGGCCGATGTCCTAAGGGGGTTTAGGGTTTTAGTGGGGGTGTAGTGTAGATGAGCTCAAGGCATACTGCTCGGTCACTGAAGTGTCCTGGAGTGTTTTTGGGCTCTGGCTGGGGGTTGTACTGTACTTACTAAAGGAAAGCCTTCCAGTAGTCACTATGGCATCCTCCACTCAACCAGAAACTAATGAAGGGGCCCTAATAATTAGGATAGGGTTGGGGTATATTATACTATAGTTCTAGTTATAATAATGGAACCCTATTCTAATTATTAAGGTTCCTACACTAGTCTATACCCTCAGCCCTACTCTTTGCGACATGTTCCCCAGAGGCAATCCGAAATAGGACCACTCCTGCCCCCATCCTTCCCTGCTCTATGGCTTGCGACTAAGATGGTCTTGAGTCGAGGGATTCCGAAGCTCACTTCAACAGATTTTAGAACCCTGAACTCCTAAAGAGTACTTATAAAATCTTTTAACTTTTGGTTCCCCCAATCTCTAAGAAACAGCTCAAACTGTAATTTTTGCCTGGGGTCTAAGTTCAGTCGAGAATCCTTGAACCCTATAAACCATCATGTAACCCTTGCGCCGGCCCGAGCAACTTGCAGGACGCAAGCCGGAAAACATCCAAACCCAGGCGGCTACACAGTTCATCGGCGCGCATACAGTATATAATTCAGCTGGTAACATTTGGACTAAATAGTTATCCATAGCCCCATAGTGGTAGATTCAGTTGGTTTAGCTTAGCTATATGAAACTATATCTCTATATCTCTCTATATATGTATGTATATGTGTATATCTGTACATATATATATATATATGTATATACAGAGCCCACAAGCCCCCCGCCCTCCAACAAATCTATCCATCCGAACATGCTGCGTCTTCACAGCCTTTGCGCTGCGCTTGAGTGAGCAACAGCAATCTCACGACCGTCGCTCCACACCTTCCCCTCGACTGCCCTTGCAGTAGCCCATGAAGTAGCTCCGCCAATTCATTGCTTGAGATTTTGCCCAGGCGTCCCCTGCCACCCTCGACTGGGCGCAACCGAATGGGGTCCTCTTCCCCAGCACTGCCTGCTGCTGACGTTGTAACTTTTTGGAGACCTCAGCCTGCCCCCTGTAAGTTCTTTAAGGATTTCTTTAAGGGCTTTGTTACAAGGGGTCTTGATGGGTTCTTGTAAGGTTTCAAAGCTAGAGCATATAAGGCACGCCAAAGAGCCTATATGCGAACCGCAGTCACAAGGCACGTGCAAGTTTGAGCAGTCGCCCATGACACTCTTCACCCAATAAAGCAGGATCTGGGGGCGGTGTGGGGTTGAGAGGTTGGGGACTCAGGTAGTATATAGGCTTTGGAGTTTGGGGACTCTAAGATCTTGGGGTTAGGGTAACCCTAAACCCTAAACGCTACTTGGTGTTGAATCTGTCCTTGCTGCCTAGTCCTCAGCTGTTGCAGTTCGGTCCGAAGGCTGCCGATAGCAAGGGCCCCTATTAGGTAGAAGTGTTCCTATATGATAATTAGGGTACCTTATTTGGGGGTCCTTATAACAAGGATCCTACTATTTAGGGTATCATATTATGGTCCCTACTTATAAGGGCCCCTACAAGTAGAACTGTTCCTTTATGGGTGGTTGTCAAAATTATGGTCCCTTTGTGGGTACCTAAAAAATATTGAATGCCGTATTATAAGAAGGACCCAATAAAGGACCAGAATTTTGACAGCTACCCATATGATAACATGGATTCCGTCGACGGTTTCGCAAAGGGGTTTCTTTCGAGGAGTTCTGAGCTAAGTTATAGCACCGCCACCTTCGCTGTGATGAGGTCGAGCTTGGGGGAAGGGTTATTGTCGGATCGAGCTCCCTTGCCGCGTCACCGGCTTCTTGGTGGCTCAAGTCTTTCGAAGAACCGTTGCTGAACGCGTTTGCTCCTTTTCGGTGATGCTCACGGCTTTTCCGTCACATCAGGGCTGTCAGATTTGAACTCCGACAGACAGATTCTAAAGGTGTCACGTTACTTGTAGAATTATGCGCACAGACAATAGCACCGAAATGCTGCACTGCTTTAAGGTTTGTTAACGACCTTGGGCCATGAAAAGTAGACTCCCGGTAGGGGCAGCATAGCTCAGAAAGCATGCCGATGTCATCGCTGACCTTCTGGCCCAGCATTTTCGTCCTTGGCTTTGCTATGGGCCCAGCATGGCAGCGAGTTCACATCCTCACACGGGTGATTGTCACAATTATGGTCCTTTTTTGGGTACCCTAAATATTAGGTGCTGCACTATATTAGGGAAACATAAAGGAACCATAATTTTGACAACCACCCGAATATTTAGCTCAATGTTTTAATAGTGGTATCCCAGTAGTCTCTCATAGTCTGTATATCCTATCCACATTCCGTAGTATACCGTGCCCAACAAACTACTTGCTGAAGCTTAGGCGGGCCAAGCCGCAAAACCGTCCCTTAGACACAAGGAGAGTAATCATAAGAAGAAAGACTAAGACGGATAAGCATATTTAATTATACGTAGAACACGAACAAACAACTAGTGATTCTGACAGTGAGGCCTTTCAAGCGCAGGGGCCTCCTACACTTAAGCCCAGGTCCCGACGGACATAATGAATTTCAATAGGGATTCTGGGTTTAGGTTATGGCATAGGATGTATAAAGGGATTTATAAAGTGTCTCCGGAGCTGTGTGCGATTGCACGTGCATCCGCGGGGTTGCAAATAGTTATCGCTCCCTTGGTCTATCTATCTATCTATCTACCTCTCCCTAGCTAGCTATCTCTGTCTAACCATCTCTCTCTCTCTCTCGCTCGCTCGCTCGCCCTCACTTTCTCCCCTGCTCTCTCCATCTCTCTCTCTCTCTCTCTCTCTATCTCTCTCCCTCTCTCTCACTCTCTCTCTTTCCCTCCCTCCCTCCATCCATCCATCCGGTTGTGTTACGTATCAGGAACCAAACAATCCCGGCGATCTGCCGCAGATTCAGAGCGAACGCGCCCCGAAGCCGTGCCGCCTACTATCGACTCCGACCCCCAAGCCCACATTATACTATAAATTATACTACAGTAGTAACCAATATAAGATGAAACACTTGATAATATGTAGGTATATATATATATATAGAGAGAGATATAGATAGATATGGATTTGGTGTAGCATACTATCATGTACTATGTACCTGTGAAACCAGACTTTCAAGAAGTCGGCAAGAAAAATCGAGGTCAGCCACCGAGTAAGCCATCATCCCACTGAGATACCTGGCCATGACCCAGGACTTCGGGTTTAGGGCCGTCCTGGGCTTAGGGACACTAAACGATAAACCGGGCTAGGGTTGAGAGTTTAGGCTTTATAGTAGAAGCCAGAAAGTTGGAATATCATTATCGTAACCCACTTAAGGTAAATTATAGAGCATCCTACCATGAAACCATATTCCAACTTTCTGGAGTTCCCTTTAAAGTACTAACCCTAAACCCTAAACCCTAAACCCTGAACTTAGGGTTTCGGGTAGGACAGCAGGGAGCGATGAGGAAGTGGAGGTTCAGTGACTCTCCGTCGGGGACTGGAGTCCAGAGTCGTAAACGTAGGGGTACTTTTAAATAAGTTTGAAATTTTAGTGCCTGTAAACCCGAAGAAACAGTTAAAAGACATAAGTTCAGTATAGAACGCCGTTCTGAGAAAGTTCAGTATAGAAAGCCGTTCTGAGAGAACCTTCTCCTCCTCAATGACTTTGACATCTTACTAACCAGTGCTGTAGTCCCTGTAGACTTTGAGGAATAGTCCTCAATTAAGCGGTGCGGCTGTGTCTAGCTTTAAGACCCCAAACCCCCAACCTAAATCCTAAGGCTTCTAATCAGAAACATGAACCTTAAACGGTTTTGCGGGCAGAGTTGTGATGCGAACGCAACGACATGTTCTCACAGCTCTGCTACCGTTCTATTGATGCTCTTAGGGCAAATGCCAATCCCGAGACCATGAGGGATTATGTGTGGCCCTCATATACATATTTACATATATATATATATAATATTGTATTGTACTTCTTTGGTTAACTTAACACATATCATATTGTATATCAAAATCTCATACAGTATTTTATGAGGTTATACATTATATCTTGTACATTATAGTATAGTAAATTGTGATATAGACTGAAGTTTATATATATATATATATATGTATATACATATTGTATTACAAGATATATTGTATGTTGTATCATATGATAGTTTTTTATTCTGCCATGTTATATCCTGTGTATATATGAATATATATATATATATATATATATATATATATATATATATATATATATATGTGTATATATATATATATATATGTACATATCATATATGTTTGTCTTGGCACAAAGTTCATGCCGGCCAGGAATTTTCCCCGGAAGCCAAGAAGTGGCGGAGGCGGCGCTCAAACGGGGTTGCGACTCCCATGGGGTGCCTAAAAAAGAGGCTTTAGGGTTTTAGGGGTTAGGGGTTTGAGGATTTGGGTTTAGGGTTTAGGGATTTGGGTTTAGGGTTTAGGGGTTTAGGGTTTAGGAGTTCAGGATTTGGGGTTTAGGGTTTAGGGTTTGGGGTTATTTTGGGGGTCCCTTCCTATAAGTAGAATACGATGAGCCGCAAAACCCTATTCCAATTACTAAGGCCACTGTATTACCATCCAGCTCGACAAGGATATGACGGTCTATGCTTCTGACTAAAGCCACAGTGATGTCTTCGAAGGTACTCATACTACTGTTGATTGAAGTATACATTTGATAGTAAGCTTTAGTGTCGGCGTTGGTGTTGTTACTTGTTGCTGCCATTGCACTGCTCCTCATCCGACGCTGACGACTACTACCCGGCCGCAATGATGACGACCTCAATGTACCACCACAGAAGTAGCGGTAGTTGTCGGTTTAGGGTTCAGAGGTTTGCGGTTTAGACAGGATGTAGGGGTTTGGCTGGCCCCAGCCCAGCAACTCCTGATGAAGTTCTGATTCGGTCCATGTGCAAATCACCGTTCATACTTCTGATCTTCGTGGTGGGTATCAGTACGATTGCTTGTCGTTCTATTCTAGCTTATCCGGCTTATCCTTCTTGGATGGTACTCTTGCAAAGCTGTAGCTGCCATGACCATCTATGTTATAATCTTTCGCAGAAGCATAGTACCGTATGTGTGTTCATTCTGCTGCTATTCTTGATTGTTGTGGTAAATGGTCTGTTATGGTGCTTGCCAGTCTTGTCCAGTTGCCTTTCTGAAGACCATGCTACTAACTGTTGAAAATAGTATATAGGGTCCTTCACGAAACCCCTGCATGTACGACCCTTATGAACGCTGAAGACCCTTTAGAGATCTGTGCAGCCCTGTCCTTATTTTCCAAACAGAAAGGTCTTCTCTCTCGCTGCTGACGCCGTGGAACCGATCGAGCCCGATGTAGCCGTGGTGCCCTTCGCGGCCTTGCCCGCCGAAGGCATGCATCTAGTGTTGTAGGAGCTGTTGGGTATTGGGTTTTCATTTCGGGATTCAGATTCAGGCCGTGTCAGCTGAGGGTAGGGCGAACTGTGTTCATGAGAACTATGAGGATGATGATGAAGATGATCGCGATGAAGATGACGATTTGTGTGATGATGTTCATAGTCATGCATTGATATATCTGGCTTTGCGGTCGAGGGGTGTTGCAGACGACAGTGAACATCAGCAATGCCTGCGCTGATGGAATGAAGACAATGGCGATGGTACGGATAGTTGCAATAATGATGGATGTCACGGCTTGTGCTGACGACGATGGTGTTATGGTGATGAGAATGAAAACAGAATCCACGCATGAACCCCTTTTTCGTGGTTCCTCTACCCTCCTCTACCCATAAAGGCAGAGGGGTTTCTTGCTGAGACTACGTTCCAAAGCCAGCATCCACTCCTGTGGAATGATGACCATAATGATTGTTACTATTCTTAGCATATTCCTATCATCACTATCGTCATCATATTCTTCGCATATCACAGTCACCGTTCTGAAGTTATGACGAGGGTCAGTATTATCATCCGAGTCCCATCACTATTTGTTGTTGTTAGTTGGGAAGCTCTGCCATTGTTGACGAAGGCTTTCAGAGGTGAGTGCACTCCTTGAACCAACCACTGTGTCAATGCCTGCTCAGTTGGAGTTGCAGTGCGACGCGACAGGTTGTCATCTCCCGCCAGCTTTGACGTGTTGTGGAGCGGATTTGTATGTGGTAGCCCCACGACAACAAGGTTTAGGGTGAGTTTCAAGTTTGGGGTTTTGGCCTTGCATTTTGGTTGCCCGTGTTTTGCAGGTCTTCTGTCTTTCGTTCCATCTTCGAATTTCGGTTCGATCTCGTCACCCCACTGCACGTGTGCGTGACAAGGACCACCTGTAGTTTAGAGTTCCAGGCCTTCAGTCGCAAGCATAAGAAGGGCCCTTCGAAGAAGCCTGCAACGCTGAGCCCCTCAAACCCTAAAGCCTAAACGCCCCAAACCCTTAACCGTAAACCCTAAAAAACTCTAAGACCCTAAACCTGTCTCTCCTGGCCTTCCTTGGCCTTCTTAGAAGTCGCAGACTTGGCAGCTTCTGGGAAAAAGGAGCTCAAACCCTAAAGGGAACTCCAGAAAGTTGGAATATGGTTTCAGGGTAGGATGCTTTATAACTTACCATAAAGGGTTTAGGATAATCATATTCCTATTTTCTGGCTTCTACTTTGAAGCCTGAACTTCCGGAGAAGGTGCCAGTGAGGAGGATACCGTCGACCTTGAGCTGCATGCAGATGCTCAGGTGCTGGCTTAGGGTTTAGGGGTTTAGGGTTTACTACAGGGTTTAGGGTTTAGGGGTTACTACAACAGGGGCTTAAATAGTAACCTATACTAGTTTAAGGGTTCGTTTACAGGGGTCTATAAGCTACTGTAAGGGTTTAGGTGCTGGGTTTAGGGTTTAGGGTTTGAGGCTTCAGGGTCGTTTAATGGGGGGGTTATAGGGGTTTAGGGTTTAGGGTTTACTACAGGGACCCTCTTAATTAGAGTAGGGTTCCTTTAAAGGGGTCTATAAAGACTACTATAAGGGCTACTTTTCATTAAGTGTTTAGTACTTTTTTGGGGTTATCCTACAATGGGCCCCAAAAACCTATTCTAATGGCCCCTGTAGTAGGGTTTAGGGTTGTCTGAAGTTTAGACCCTGGCCTGGTCCGTCATGCAGTGGTTCTTCAATTCTTCATCGCAACAATCTAGGCAGAAGGTGTCGGATGAAGATTTCTGAAGCTTTGCTTGGAGCTTCGCGTGTGGGGTACTTTAAGTGATTTGATAAGTCTTTATTGTTAATATGGGGTTACAAGTACAGTTACGCCACTTATAGCTGCCCATGAACCTCCAAAGACGATCCTTAGGTTGAGGGTTTAAAAGGGCCCAGGACATATCATCAGAAAGCTTTAGGATCCTAACATCGAACCAGAACTAGAACCTCTAAGTGTGCTGAGGGCTTCAGAAGTGTAGGGTTTCCAATCAAGCAGAGTCTCAAAGCCAACTCCGGCAGGTTAAAGAACTTGCACTTGCGGGTTTATGCGGTATAGCGGTGCCTGGAGTTATGAGTCCCCTAATAATATGGGCCAAACCACCCAAGACTTTAAGTTACAAGTTACTAGTTTATGACTCACATAGAACTGCCCATGGACCTCCCAGCCATAGCTTGCTTTTCCTTCAGAGTGCTTTCTCTAGCCTCGTGTCCTAGCACCTGACCTGCTCGCAGAGCAACCGATGTGTGAAAAACCTGTCCACAGCACATTGACTCACCATACAGCTTTCTACAACCCTGCAAACAAGCGCAAAACATATCAACATCTCACAAAGCCCATAATAAGCCCTGAAAAGTCTTTTCAAACCTCCTTTGAACTCTACATGCTAAACTTGGCCCTAAGCCCCATTCTCCCAAGCCCCAAACCCTTCATATAGCTTTAATTCCTAAACCGCGAATTTCCTTATCGCGGCCAGGCGCGGTGCCTCCGGAGCCGCCTTGCGCCCACGGCCGCGGCACTTCTAAGGCACCTCATGGCCCGCGGACGCTTGCAGAATTGTATTATGGGTTCCTTCCGTACAGGATACCATAAGGATTTTTGTAAGGGGTGCTATAATTCTTACTGCAAGGGTGCGTCAAGGGTTTCTATAAAGGTTAATCACTATACGGGCATGGCAAGTAATTAGTGAAAAGGGTTTTGTGAGTTTGATATGGGTTGTAGATCAGCGGCTAGGGTTCAGGGTTGCGTGTTTCGATGAGGATTGTAGACGTTCTTTTGTATGAATTGTTGAACGCTTTTCTGATTAAGGGTTTATCAGACGAACCAAACCCCGAGCAACCGGCATAGTAATCAAACCCCAGTACATGGTCATAAACCCTAGTAGATGGCCCCAAACCCTAAACCCCAAGCCCTTAAACCCGAAACTCCAGTAGATTGGCTGTACTGTACCAGTGATGACGGAATACTAAACACAACCAAACCCGACACACCCGAAACCAATGAACTCGATAGACCGTGTAGCCCGATCCTCCGTGTCGGACCTGTATAAAGCCTTGAACGTAGGATTCTCCCCGAACCCTTGAGTAGTTCTACGTGGCCCCTCTAGCAACTCTAGTAGCTGTTGCTGGGCATAGTGGAGGGTAGATGCGGATGGACGATCTATGCATTCATGGACTTTTTGGATCTTCTCGGCCTACATCTGAGTTTTTTTGCAGCTTATGAGAGTGGAAAGGTGGTTGGAAGAGGATTGCACAAAGGCCTCTGCCAAAGCCTTAGTGCGGCTGCATTTGGGGCTGTTAGGGTTTTGGGTCCACGGTGCTGGTTTTGAGGATTCAGAGTTGACGGTTGAGGGGAAGGCCTGTAAACTCTCTTCCGTAGACGCTGGGCTTGAGTCATTGAGGGCTTACGATTTAGGGTTGTCTCGTGGAAAGGGATGTGGCACCAGCAACTAGCTCCACGGGATGAGAGTCACAATGATAAACTACACAGAGCAAAAAAAACCTACACCTCAAGAAAAGTGCAGTATTTGAGCTTCATGCCCGACTGTAATCACAGCTGCACAGATTCGGACCCGAAGTGCAACAATCCTAGACCCCGAACCTACACCCTCGACGCTAAACCCTAGACCCTGGAGCCGAACCCTCAACGCATGATTCTTCGTGATTCTCGCTAAACGGAGGCTGTCTATATCCAAGACTGCCAGAAGGTGCTCGCACTTATTATCTTACTGAGCGCTCTGTTGCTTGCTTTCTCTCTCTCTCTCTCTCTCTCTCTCTCTCTCTCTCTCTCTCTCATTTTCACTATCTCCCTCTCCCCTCACTTATATATACATATTATATGTATATATATATATACACACACATACGCACATACCTACATAAACACATGCAGGAGAAGTTTGGGCAGTTAATGATGGTTTAAACCTCTAAAATGTGAAATTAGGGAGACGAAGTGACTTATTATTCAGGCTAATTACTGTCAGTGGCCAATGCGTAGGCCTCTACCGTGCCTCTGTGAAGACTTGTCTGAAAGGGAGCAGGGTTCGGGTTGGGCAGGTGGCGATCCACGGCATGCTTGTAGAAGCTGAAGAACAAGCGTATGTCAGATGAGGAGTATTAGCTGTTTTTCCTGTGGCATCCTTGCAACAAGCCGTCGCCGAGGGGCCTCTTTCGGCAACGGCCGCCTCTGGTCTCCTGGTCCTTCTGGCGTGGCCCTCAGGGTTCCATTCGAGCCCCCTCTTAGGGCTCATGGGTGAAAAAGGCTCCATAAGGGTTTCATAGCGGCTTTCGGGTTCCATGGCTCGTGCAAGGGCATTTAGGGTGCTTGTCGCTTCAAGGGTTTGAGGTTTCGGAGATTAGCAGCAAAAACCCTGACAACACAGAAAGATGGGGCATGCGCCATATGTCTCCGTATTTCTTAGTCTTATAGTTCCGGGAACATGGATACTTTAGGGTTCTGTCAGTTTGCAACCGAGTGTTTAACGTATTCGACTTCGAGAGTTAGGGTATTCGAGGAGTTTTCTTAGGGGTTATGCGTGCTATTTGGCGTTAGGGTTCACAGATTCGCTGCTTCAGCGCCTGGCGGGACTGTATGGAATGAGGCCCTTGCAGACATCGCCGTTGCCGTGAAGATGTCTTGGAGGCCGACATGTAGCGCGTTGTTCAGGTTCTTCTGGGTCTTTTTGCTGAGGGGGGTGTTTGCGTAGCAGTGCTTTGGATTTCACGGGTTTGGATTTTTAATCTAGATCGGGGTTCAGGGACTTGGCATTTGGGTTCACTGTTTCAGGGTTGGGAGCTCATGGCTATTGTGACATTGATGGAGGCTTGCATTGTCCGGCCTGCGCTTGCCCAAGCCCAAATGGCAACGCGCAAACACAGCTATGTGCACAACCCTATAGAAACCCCAAACCGAAAAGCACTAAAACCCTCCAACTTAGATAGTGAACGGGGGAATTTTAAACTTTTTGGACTTATATATTAGGTCTATAATGGAAAGCTTGAACTTGTTGGGGCCCGGTTGTTGAAGAAGCGAGCCAAAGCTAAAACCCTAAGCCCTAAACCCCCAACTTTTTTCATGCAGCTTCAAGCCCGGCGAGACCATGCGAAGCCTTGGCAGTTTGAGACTTTCTTATCGGAGAGAGCTATCAGTCTACCCTCGTTCTTCATTCCTCACTATTGCTGGTACTACTTGTTGTCACTACCTAGTATTGCTGGATAATCACTTAGTGTTAATATCCTCACAATTCGTTTCCTATTGCGATTTGTGATTGCGACCATTACTGTTCAATGACTTTTCGAGGTTCTGCGGTTGAGCGTTTTGGTCATGGCCTGATTAAGTGCGCTCCTGTTTGGGGGGCTTTTTTCTGCTAGAAGCAGAAGCAGAAGCAGATCATCAAAGAGCATAGCCGTGCTGCATGTTGAGATAGCTAAGCGATACGTTGAGCGTCGTGCTGTTCGCAAGAGTACAGGCTGGGGGGAGAAGGTTGTCTTGAACATGCTACAGCTCTCTAGAACTTGCCATGCATTGATTGTTATTTCATCATTGACACCATGCTGTGTCAGTATGAGCGTCCCTGAAAGTCCTAGAACTTCACAATGCCATGAATGTAAACGGTAGGCACTGGACTCTAAAGGCTCCGCTACCGCGCTCCGCCCGAGAGCACTTTGAATGGTTTAGCTTAGGAGCTGCCCCCACCCTGTAATAGCGGTATAATAGGAACATAATAGGGCCCTAATACAATCCTATATAATCCTTCTGGTCACTATTACAGGGTGGAGGCAGCTTCTAAGGTTTAGCCATCAAGCCCAACAGGATCAATGTAGGAGTTTTCGAAAATTGGGGGTACCTTATTTTGAAGTCCTTATAATAAGGATCCTACTATTCTGGGTACTATATCAGGGTCCCCTAGTTTTCGAAAACTCCCATGTAGGCTGCTGGGGGTAAAAGGACTCATGGGCTTCAGGGCTGCTCATGTCTTGGGGTTTGGGATTTACCTTAACCCGGAAGAATCCAGATTTTTTATGGTCTTATAAAAGGAAATCATAAATAAGGACTCCTGAAAAGGTAGATTGTTCAGGGTTAAGGTAGAATCTAAGTTCCAAGTCTGCTTGAAGGCTCATGGGACTTAGTAAGTAAGGTTATAAGTAGGTTATGATTAGGATAACCCCACTTAGGGGACTTATAACCCCAGTTATAACCTACTTACTAAGTCCCATGATCCTCTAAGGGTACCCTAAATATTAGGTGCCGTATTATATTAAGGACCCAAAAAGGGACCATAACTTTGACAACCACCTATTTAGAATCTAAGGTCAAAGCCTAAAGTTGTGAGAGCTTTGAGCGCACATGCACGAAGCTTGGCAGTTTGGTCCGCTGGCTCACACACCCCGCCAAGAGAGTTAAGGCGGCACCTGCTGTCTTTATGGTCGGTTTAGGTTTTTGGGGTTTAGGGTTTATGGTCTCCTGTAAGGGCGGTTTTTAGGGTTCTTTTCAGGTTCTCTTTAGGAAGAGCTTCGGAGGTTTAGATGTTGGGGCTTTGAGCTGGTTGGTTTAAGGCTGGGATTAGCAGCTGCGAATTTGGCGGCGGTACAACTACATAGTATGAACAATGGCCGCTTATCGTCCCTAGTACGACTTAACATCATGGTATAATGTACCCCGCAATTACCTCATTAAGTTTTGTATTGTCGACGTGCAAGGGTTTAGAATGACTCGCAGTTCTATTTCTGGACATTCCTATATAGGTTCAGGGTTTAGTATCGCAGAACATGCCCCAAGTGCTTGTCTAGTGTTTCAGGCAACTACCATAATGTGGGAACCTGATTAAGAAAGGGGGGGGGACCCCCGCTATCAAGGTCACAAGGTCGGACACCTCGCCCCCAAACCCCTCCAAACGATTAAGTGGAGAGAACCTTGTTGGGGGTTTTGGGGCAAACCTTGTTCAAGGTCCCAGAGAACCTTGTTTGGGGAAAGTTAATATGGATTAGTACAGTACCAGTATAGTAGTGCAGTAGCAGGACAGTAGCAGTTCAGTAGTAGTACAGTAGTAGTACAGTAGTAGTACAGTAGTAGTACAGTAGTAGTACAGATGTAGTACAGTTGTAGTACAGTAGTAGTACAGTTAGTAGTACAGTAGTGGTACAGTAGTAGTACAGTAGTAGTACAGTAGTAGTACAGTAGTAGTACAGTAGTAGTACAGTAGTAGTACAGTAGTAGTACAATAGTAGTACAGTAGTAGTACAGTAGTAGTACAGTACCAGTAGACCCTTCTAATAGGGGGGTGGGCATGGGGTTTTATTCAAGGTCAGGTTTTTTCCGGGCGAGATCGGGTGTGCCTGTGTAATTGGGGGTGTGTAGCCAAACTCCGCGCTATTGGAGGGTTGAACGTTTAAAGCAATACAAGACCTTGTTTGGGGATTTGGGGGAAACCTGTTCGAGGGAAAGCTAATACATATTGATTTATTATTTGGTATACTACTAGTACTATAGTAGTACAGTAGTAGTACATTAGTAGTACAGTAGTAGTACAGTTGTAGTACAGTTGTAGTACAGTAGTAGTACAGTAGTAGTACAGTTGTAGTACAGTAGTAGTACAGTAAGCTAAAAAAAATGATTAGGGGGCTGTGAGGGATTAGACCCTTTTTAATCAGGGGGTTATCTTTAAGAATTATTCAGGGTCCATAAGAAGGGTTGGGTGGTGTGGGGTCCTAACTAATCAGGGGCTGTAAGCTAGAAAATTAATTAGGGGGGTGCTGGTTGCTGTGAGGGATTAGACCCTTTTTAATCAGGGGGTTATCTTTAAGAATTATTCAGGGTCCATAAGAGGGGTTGGGTGGTGTGGGGTCCTAACTAATCAGGGGCTGTAAGCTAGAAAATTAATTAGGGGGGTGCTGGTTGCTGGTTGCTGTGAGGGATTAGACCCTTTGTAATCAGGGGGTTATCTTTAAGAATTATTCAGGGTCCATAAGAAGGGTTGGGGTCTGTGGGGTGTCCTGTTTAATTGGGGTTATATTTTATTTATTTTGGGTTCAATTGAAGGTCAATCAAATTGTTTGTCTGGATGGAACGAGCCTATCTAATTGGGGGGGTTGTTTTTTCAATTTTTCATCTTTATTTGGGGTTCAATTGAAACACATACAAATCTGACCCCAACCCCGGCCCGTGCCCCTTTTAATCCGGGGAATTTGTTAATCAAGTTCCTACATTACAAGCATTGCACTCTGCCATGTTCAGGTGTTTGGCATGCGGCTTGCGCGATGGCGGCCTATGAAATTCTAAGTTTTGTCAATGCTGGCGAAAGCTGTCGAACCGATGTGATTCCCGTTTATTCTAGGGGCTGCGCCCAGGTGCGGGCAGCGCGAGTTGTTGTGAGCGGATGTAGCGGGGGAACGGGAAAGACACGGTCAAAATTTCCAGACGGTGCCGAGACAACGACAGCTCGACACCGGAACAAAAGTGTGACGTAGGCCCGAAGTGCACAACTTATGGGTGATCTTACGCTCTTAGCCCTCGTCGGCCCTCCATGTAGCCCGCATCCGCCCTCCGCCGGACCCCGCTGATGCTGATGATGCGCGCCCTTTTGGGGCTTCCGCAACCCACGCAAAAACTTGGAAATCATCACTTCGCGCCCACTTCGCGCCGCGGGGCCGGTTGCGGGCGCCCGAGTGCTCATGATGCTCGCCGGCTCGCCTTCCTGGGGTCGTCCACGGCGGCCCCGAAACCCGCCATGCCGTGGGGAATGGCTGCGAAGCGCGTGCGCGTTCCGAGACGCCTCCGGGCCAGGGCCTGCGCGGCCCTATGGAGAAACGGAGGTCCGATGATGCGGGGTCGGCGGCGGGTCGGCGGCACAACCCGTTGTGGCTTTTGCTTCGCAAGACAAGCCCATTCGTCTGAGCCATAGCTCAGTCCATACAGGGCAGCGAAACGCTGCCCGATTTAAGAGCCTCCGGCTCAAGCCGCCGACCCCGTGGGCGACAGACCAGAAGCCGAATGCACTTGTACAGGCAAAGTCGTTTGGTGTCCGCGAGGCCCGTAGGTTTAGTTAGTGCAAACAAAGCCTTACCGCAGGCGCGACGATCACGCGAAGTAGGAACAAGGAGCATTTTGGAGCGGAGATGCCGAGGTTGAAGAGGAAGAAGGGGGCAAGGCGGGTGGGGGGGGAAGGGGGAGGGGGAGGGGGGGAGGCGGGTAGGGGAGGGGAGGGGGGGAGGGCCTACAGTGAACTGATTTGAACCCAAAGAGCTGTGGTGTGATGCTTTTGGGGGCTTGGGTGTTCCCCCCCCCTAACTCCGCTTTGCGGGATTTTGGTGTGGGAGGAGGGAAAAAGGGAGGTTAACACCTCCAAGCCCATCGAAACCCATCCAACACGCCGCCAGGGTCGGCGGATCAAAACCCCAAGCCCTCAACCCGTTTGACCCGCTCCGTATGAAAACCCTCTAAATTATGAAAGCCTAGGCTTGCTGCTTCCGGCAGTAGGAACGGTACACCTTGAGCTGCAACAGGTCCAGACCATAACAGCGCTAGTTTTAGAATAGAAGCCAGCAGAATGGGCTCTGTGTTCCCTAGCGAGATCCCAAAGCAAAACGATTTCCAGCTCGTAAGTAAGCACTAAGCCCCAACTAAGCCGCGAACCTTTAAAAACCTGAACCCCTGAAGCCCTAAACCCTAAACCCTTCGAAGCCCCATTACATCCTCAGCCCCCTACACCCCGACAGCCCTACACCCAAAGCCTGCACCTAAAAGCAGTATGAGCCCGAGACGTCTGGGTAGTTGTCAAAATTAAAGTCCTTTTTTGGGTACCCTAAGCATAAGGTGCCGTATTATAATAAGGACCCAACAAGGGACCAATTTTGACAACCACCCATATGGATCCGTGGATTCCAGGAGACGCCGAAGGAGCCGAACAGGTGCTTCCCAGGGAGAGTCTACCACTTCTGGTTTGATCATGCTCCTGTGGGTCTTTCCATGGGGGAGTTAGTGGGTCCTACTGTATCCATACATATATACACACCTAGATGTATGTGTGATATATGTAGTGTACACATACACATACACATATGTTGCATTTGCATATGTATACATACATGCATACATGCCTACGTCTGTGTGTAGGCACTGTGTTTTTTTGCACGAGCCTTGTATGCAGACATGCTCTATGTTTCCATATATCTACAGATGTGGTGTTTTGAGGTGTGTGTGTGTGTGTGTGTGCATATATACATATATGGATGAAGAAAGACAGAACGGCACAACTAACTAAATCAAGAACTATGTCAATAACGAAGAAGAAGCGAAATAAATGAACAACGAACGAAATAACGAACTAAGCAAAGACAAACAGTGCCGTAAAGAGAGAAATAAGCAAACACATACGCAAAACATAACGAAATAAAGGCAGACAGAGCGAACAAAAGGACGACACAACGAACGAGAGTTAGACAGATAGTTAGATAAGACATGGCCTTCTAAGAGGTGCTGTAAGAGCCAATCTTGCCTATAGACATGCTTGTAAAGAGGGAGGGAAGACATGAGTGCCTTATTGTGGCAGGATGGCAAATCCGAATGTAGAGCTCGATAGAACTCCTACAAAAGCAGTCCTGGTTTAGCAGAGTTCATGAAGGAACCTTTGCTACAAGCAATCCTGATGTTCCAGTAGGGCTGACAACCTTCGCTATGCTACTTTATTGAAGCATGCGTTTACGTGAATTTGGATGCTTGTTTTATAGCTTATATAGTCCCCGAAACTTGTTTTGAGTATGAATGCCCTTGCATTGCATTCTGACAAACCTTTGTTGTGGCGAATAGAAGCTCTTGGTTGCAGGAGTTTGTTGTGTGCGGGGGAGCTTTGTTTGCTTCCTGGGTCAAGTTAGAGTGGAAGATGTGGACTTTACGGCCTCAAATATGGATCCCCTGACCCTCGACCCGAAACCCCTAAAGCACAAGACCCCAGATGAGCAAAGCATGGCAAAGTCAACAGCAGCACGTTTAGAGGCCCCAGAGCAATGACAAGATCCGAAGATGCGACGGCGACGTTTAGCCAAATGCCCTGGTTGATTAAACCTTGTATGCAAAACCCTGATAAAGCCCTTACAAGGCTCCTGTCAAATATACAAAGCCTGAATGAGATCCCACGCACACCAGTCATTTCCTTCCCTTGGAGCAGGCTACCCCCCCGGCCGCAGTTTTTTGAAATTCACTCGGAGGACCGGGCTGCCTGAGATGTAGGGTTTTGGGTTTTGGGTTTAGAGTTTAAGGTTTAGAGGTTTCAGGCTCTTGGTGTTCAGGGGTTGTTAAGTGGTCATTCTTTGAAAGGGTTCCATAAGGGCCACTAAGGGGACGTACTTTAGAGGTTCTGCAATCGGGATCTAGGCATACCCATTGCAGTTCCATTCTGGTTATAACTAGTCGTATGATTTGCGTGTTCCCATCTTGGGGGCGGTTAGACTGGATGACGATAGTGTGGTTTTCGGTTCCTTGGAGGGATCTATGAGGGTTGCTTGAAGGAAGTGATACGGCTTCTTTAAGGCGGTACAGTAATTACGTGTATAGTGGTAGCGATTAACATGGTTTGGGTGGGTAAGTATCACCCCATATCGGGACTTAGGACGCTTTGGGGTAATCGACCAGCAGAGGTGCTCGGGTTGGGTGCGTTACTTGTGCCGCGGAAGGTGTTGCCGTTGCCGTCCGGCCTTTCTGTGGGTGTTGAAACAGTGCTTCTCAGTCTAGGGTTGCGGTATTTGGGATATCTGCTTAAACCTTTGTTTCAAATATATGCAACAAATGAACCCCACCCCAAGCAGGGAAAAGACAGGCAGCAGGGGCATCCTATGCCCTCAACACCCAAGCGACTGAAGCCCAAACCATCCAAGTATTGCAGATCAGCCCATTAGGTCGTCAGTGGGTTGTAGGAGAGCAAGGGTGTCCTGCAATCCAGAGACAACGGAACGAGCGATTTACCTCAGCCGCAACTGCTACGGTTAAGGATCTGGTTGAGTTGAGGCGCTTTCAAAAACCCTACCTATAGTCTCCATTGTAGTTCCTTTTTTTGGTTAACCAGTTTTATGGTTAAGACCCTATAATAGAGATTTTGGTTAACCCAAAAAAGGAACTACAATGGAGACGATAGGTACGCCCTAAAACCTCAGGGCGAGGATGACGGGACGCCGCGGAGACCAAAGAAGGCCACTTCTTCTGTCTTGTTGTTGAACCCTGGAGGGTTTCGGGTAATCGCTAGGGTTTAGGGTTCAGGGTTTAGGGTTTAGGGTCTAGGGTCTAGGGTTTAGGGTTTAGGGTTTAGGGTTTAGGGTTGTTGAACCCTGGAGGGTTTCGGGTAATCGGGCTGTATAGGTTAGAAGGGGCCCCCACCCTGTAATAGTGGTATAATAGGAGTGTAATAGGGCCCTAATATAATCCTATATAATCCTTATGGTCACTATTACAGGGTGGGGGCAGCTTCTAATGTATAGGGTGGTTATAGGGTTTATCAGGGTTTTGGGTCTGAGGGTTTTCGGTTGGGGTTTAGGGTTTGGGCTTGAGTATTCTAGCATCTAGAAGAATTAATGCCCCCCTGGGTGCCACAATTGGAGATCCTGAATAAGTAAGTCTCAGGTTTTTGAAGGTAAATATCTTTAGCTGGACAAGCATCTCTCCGTGACGGAGCATGAAATAATTGGCTTGTCTGACGGTTTGAGAGTATTGCGTACTCCTGACGGCTTTCGTCGCTGCCTTCCCTGCTGAAGTGCTGCCAGAGTCTGCGTTGGGGGCCGGGCCAGTCCGTCAGATGTTTGCCATCACCACTGTAGGGTTCCGGATGCGTGGTACACCCTAAACCCTAAACCTACACCCATTTCTACACCAAGCATGGCAAGTGTGGGAACCCTAACGATTCGTCTTGCAGTCGAGGCACAGGAAATTCAACAGTATTGATCAAACACTGAGAAGTCTGACTAAATAGTCACTGAGCTCCCTCTATGATCTCTATTACTCGAAGCCTCGTTCTCTCACGCTCTGCAGGGGTATATAGAGCATTTGCGCCTCCAAGCCCTTGTCCAGCTATTTCGGACCTCTGCATCAGATCACCCACCCTGTTAATTTAGGGGTCCAATAATAGTTGGCATAGGGTTTTGGGATTGGGGTAAATTATACTAAGACTATAAGTACATTTCGCCCCTATGTTGGGAAGCATGATCAGGGAGACCCCTTAAAGGGTACCCCTTCCGAACCCTACTTCTGACTCTCTTAAAAGAGACCTTATTGAGAGTGTCTGTATCCCCGAGGGTCCCCCTAATCCTAACTCCCATATGTTACTCCTTGCCAGGCGAAGGAGCTCGAATCTCAGTGCTCCTCCTCCAGAGCTCAATGTGAAATCTCACATCCGACGCAGGAGCGCAAACGACGTTGTGTTCCAGTCTGACTGGTGCTTAGTAGGGGTTGGGGGAATGGATCCCTATAGTAGTCCCTATAGAATCCCCCAAAATAGTCTCCATAATCGATTCCCCCATTCCCGACTAAGAACCAGACAGGGATTATAGATACCCTAAGACCCCTTATAGAACCCTTATAGAACCCTTATAGGACCCCTTAAAGGAACCCCATTCCCGACTGAGAACCAGAGATCAGTTTTAGGAGGGCTGTGAGTCCGGCAGAACTTCCCGGCACTTAGAGGATCATGGGACTTAGTAAGTAAGGTTATAAGTAGGTTATAGTTAGGATAACCCCACTTAGGGGACTTATAACCCCAATTATAACCTACTTACTAAGTCCCATGATCCTCTAAGCACCGACCGAGGTTGGAAGCTGCGCGCCTCAAGTTGGCCGAGCAGGAGAAGGACCAGACTTGTGGTGAATTCCATTTTTCCCAACTACCTTCTGAAGACTTGTTGTTCGATGTCTAGGGTCTTTGGTGGGGTTGGAGCAAGTTGTGAACAACATTGATATCGCAAGCTCAAGAGCCCTGAACCACAAGCCTGAAAACTCTACACCCCCCGCAAACTCAAAACGCAAAGTGCAGGCGGAATCGACAGTTGAGGAACAATGATACCAAGCAACGCTACCCTCATCTAAGGGGCTTCAACAATCAGACTTGCGTTACTTTAGGGTTTCGGGTTTAGGGTTAAGGGTTCAAAGCTTAGGGCTTAGCGCTCTGTTCAGGGTTTGGGGTCTCAAGTTTAGATTCAGGGTTGCTTAAGGGGGATCCATGAGGGATTGATGCAGGGTCACGACCCGGAGATCCCCACTTAGAGCTAACATTCAACCCGCAGTCGGTAGGTAATATATGGGTGGTTGTCAAAATCCGGGTCCCTTTTTGGGTCATTGTTATAGTACGGCACCTAATATTTAGGGCACCCAAAAAGGCGCCATAATTTTGACAACCCCCCATATCGGCCTTGATAGCTACCTATACTATTTTGGGGGTTCCTTGCTATAATTCTAGTATCAGGGGCCCCCGAGCCCTTATTACAGAGCCCTACTGTAGGTCCCTTATAGACCCCTTTTAAGGATCCCGTTAAAGGAACCCTAGTCTGATTATTAAGGGTTTAGGGTTTAGGGACCCCTTTTAAGGATCCCTTTAAAGGAACCCTAGTCTGATTATTAAGTTACGTCGCAGTTCCTTGAGTCGGGGTTCTGTTGTTCCACAGCTTTTTCGGCCCCTAGGGCCTCAGCCCTAAAGCTAAAGCCATACACCTTGAGGCGCCTTTTAAGCGGGACTTGTATAGACGAGCCTCTGGGTTGTCCTTGTTGGGATCTTTTTTAAGTTCCCCTATGATTTTGTAGAGAACCAACATAGTACTTGGAGGATCATGGGACTTAGTAAGTATGGTTATAAGTACCCTGATTGGGGTTATAAGTATAGTTACCTTAATAATAACCGTAACTACTAAGTCCCATGATCCTTCAAGAAGGCCCCCAAATGGGAGTTTCCGAAAACAGGGGACCCTAATGTAGTACTCTAAGTAGTAGGATCCGCATTATAAAGACCCCAAAATAAGGTACCACGAATTTTCGGAAACTCTAAAGCCTTTATGGAGCCCTTTAAAGGAACCCTTATAGTACCCTTATAGTACCCCTTTAAAGGAACCCTTATAGTACCCATATAGTAACCCTTTGAAGGCACCCTAAGGTAGCCCTAGTTGTCGGAAGCTCCCAAATGGCAGACCCCAACTAGAAGCCGAAGCCCTGAAGATCGACTCAACTAGGTGGCAGTTTGGGATGTTTAGGGTTTAGGGGTTTAGGGTTTAGGGGTTTATAGGGTTCAGGGTATTTAAGTCTATTTGCTTGCCTGCTGGTCTGTCATGCCCTATCAATCGAGGTACGTAGCTTGTTAAGTTATCATGTAAAACCTTTGAACTCAAACCCGCAATTAAGCAATATGATGGAACTATTTAGGATGCCTCCGAACAGGAGCTCCTGCAGCAACGAGCTGTCGCTTCGTCCCTGCAAGAGGCCAGGAGATTCGGATCCCACCCTGCGAACCCGACTGTCCAGACATTTTTATTTTCGCTTCGTTTAGGGTTTAGGGTTTAGGTCATATCCAGAGAGAGGGCTTCAGGTTTTGGGGATTTGGGGGTTTAAGGTTGACGCCTTGGCTTTGCGAGTCAAGAGGGTTTATGGGCTTATTGATGCTGCCAGAACTTTACTCAAGCAATATCTCAACCCTGAAGCCCTAGGACCTAGGACCCTTCCAGCCGTAACCCGCAAACACTGTAGCCCATCAACCGGCCGTAAACTGCAACGACGGATGTTGGCTGAAGGAATACTCCGTAGGCACTGTCGGTTTCCGCCGCAAGGCCCGAAACAGCCAAAACTCCAAAGCCTACATCCCAAACACCCCACCCTATGCCGGGAATGTTTTGCAGCTTCCGCCCCACCGTTGAGGAGCTTACGCAACAGAAGCTCGCGGCAGCTGCCCTGCAGGAGGAGCATCCAAGATTTACATGGTGATACATAATATATATATATATATATATATATATAGATATATATATATATACACACACATATACGCGCACATGCGTATACATGTGTTGCCTTTTTGTAATTCTTCATCCATCGATAATTTCCTAGGGTTTCTGAGGTTTATAAGCATTGCGGTTTTATGGATTCGTGGGTAATCAGAAAATGTGTTGAGTGCCTGGGTTGGGCTGCCTTGCGTAGCTGGTAATGAAATCCTAAACCATAAACTTTAAAATGGCCCTACAACACTAAACCCTAAATAATAAAATGGTCCTAGGCAAGGGGGTGGGATTTAGTTATGGGTCTATCATGCTGCTGTCACGAAGAGGCCCCAACAAACTGGCTCATCCTGGTAAGGAATTCTAACTGTCCTGCAGTCGGAAAAGAGCCCTCAAAAAAAAATGGTCCTAAAACTATAAACCTAACTAAACCCAAGATATGCCACGAGAATCGCCTTGCACCCAGGAGTTGTTGCAGCTGCGAGTCCGCACACGGGCCGCGCAGTCTGAGGCAGCGGTTTAGGACCTTTAGAGGGCCCATCCTTTTTGTTTTAAAGGGGAGAGTGGAGTTGAGTGAGGGTGTAGTGTTTAAGGCGTGGAGATGCGGTTGCAGTCGCGTGGCAGATGATGTTGATTATTTCAACGATGTGTATGCTGTGCTCCCTAAACCCTAAACCCTAAAGCCTAAGCAGTTAAGAGTGGTGGTGACAGTGACGGGGGTACAAAGCCCCAGAGCCCTTGTTACGAAGGCACCCAAACGCGAGACCCGGAAGCCGTTTTCAAATCCAGGGCACTAAACCATAAGCCCCAAAGTAGTTCCTTTTTTGGGATTGCCTTATGGGTCTATATATGAGCCCCAAAAAGGAACTACTTTGGGGCCTTAGGGTCATAAGCGCCAAAGCTGGTGGTTTAAGCCCGAAGCCCGAAACCTTCAGCTGGAACCCTAGGCTCTACCATAGGGGCCTCAAGAAACATTAGAAAAGGGTTTTGGGAGTTTCCTTGTTGTCATTATACTATATTATCCCCCCAAACCCTATTATAACTATGAAGGCCCCTATATTATAGAGTACCCTTAGACCCCTTTAAAGGAACTCTATTTTAATTTTTAAGGCCCCTACATCACCCCGCAACCCCGAAGCCAGGCGACCCAGACTGATGCCGAAGCGGTCCTGGAGGCGGAGCTGCAAGTGTCGGCAGCTGAGGCCTTTCTTGGTTTAGCGTTTAGGTTGGATATTGCCCCCACTTTGTAACAGTTGGACAATATTCATAATATAGCTATATTAGGACCTTAGTAGTAGGCCCATGGTAGACTGTTACTGTATGCGGGCAGTACCCAACCTTTAGGGTTTAAGGTAGAAGGCTCTTTCTTGGGGCTTCGCGTTTGGGGATTAGGGCAGAAGCAGAGTCTTAAAGGCCTCTTTCTTGGGGCTTACGGTTTGGGGCTTAGGGCAGAGTTAGAAGGCTCTTTGTTGGGGCTTCGGGTTTAGGGATCAGGGCAGGAGTAGAGTCTTAAAGGCTCTTTGTTGGGGTGGGTTTGGGTCGGATTCACCACAAAGACACCCAAACAGCCCCAAGATCGTCCTACTCCAAAGACAAGCAGCCCCGACTTCTGGAACGTGCACCGAGACCTTGACGCCCCAAAACCGAAGCCCCCAGAGCCCGTGGGCCTCAGGGCGCTTAGCTGTTCTTAACTTTGGAACAAAGCCTAAACCGAAACTCAAAAGACCATAAACCCTACAAGCCCTGAATCCCTATAAACCCGAAAAAACCCCTAAAACCCCACACCCTGAAACCCTGGACCCTAAACCCTACAAACCCTGTAATCCCTATACTCGAACCTACTAGCCCCGTAAAATACGATTAACCCTATGATGCCTAGACCTGTCACCCTGTCGTGTTCTCAACATACCGTAGACTCAGGTCGCGAAAGGAACTCTCCGAAGTGCAGATGGAGAACTTGTCGCTAAGGACGGGGACCTACTGGAGGGGGCCTAAATGATTACTATTTTGGGGTTCCTTGTTACAGTTATAGTATCTATTGCCACTACTATTCTGGGGTTTCGTATGATCAAACTTATACTAATAGTATTAGAGTATACAGCCCTGTTCCAATATTTCAGGCCCGTATTTTGCTGCTGCGAACAGGGTTCAGAGGTTTAGGAGTTTAAAGGGTCTAGGTCAGGGTTCAGAGTTTGGGGTTGAAGATCTTAGGGCTTATTTCTTCAGAGGTTTAGGGGAACAAGTCGAAGATGCTCTAGCAAATAGCTAGTGTCAGTATAACCCTGCTTCCTAAGTCCCAAAACTTTTCGGCACACCTCTCACGGCGCAGGGCATCGTTGGAGGACCGGGCCAATGAGAAGAAGGCGGCCGCCACCAACGCCCTAAATTTCTCTATTGCTTGAAATCGATTTGCAACCCTAATCCGCAAGGTCCTAAACCCCCTAACCCAAGACCCTACATCCAAGCCACAAAGATCGTACCGCTACACCTTCAGCCGAAATTGCCTAAACCCTTAAGCCCCAAGAACCTAACCCCTAAACCCGAAACACCAAACGCCAAGACCCTTTGCCCTGAACCCCTTTTTCAGAGCACTGAAAGACCCCCTTCAAGCAGCCCTTAAAGACCCCTTAATTATAGAGCCCCTTAAGATGGACCCTTCAGGGACCATTTTCGAGCTCGTTAAGCCGTCAAGGACCCTTCTAGAGCCCTTTGCAAGGAAGCTTCATAAGTAAAGACCCTTTCAGAGCCCCTAATCTTTTAAATATCCCTAGAAGAGCCCTTCAAACTTGCAGTAGGGAATGGAGGAATGGAATACAATTATAGCTACTACTATTGCTACCATTCTTCCATTCCCCACTAACCAAAAGTAAGTTATAGACTAGGGCCGGAGGCGCCTTTTAAACGGGACTTGCATAGGCGAGTCTCTGGGTTGTCCTTTGGGATCTGTTTTAATTTCCCCTACTATTTTGTAGAGGACCAAAATACTTGAAGGCTCATGGGACTTAGTAAGTAAGGTTATAAGTAGGTTATGATCAGGATATCCCCACTTAGGGGACTTATATCCCCAACTATAAGCTACTGACTAAGTCCCATGATCCTCTACTAAGTAGTAAATAGTTTTCAAAGGGCTGAAAGGACAACTCAGGCCCTCAAAAGAAGCCTCAAAGAGCTCCTAGGCGCTCCTCCAGGAGCTGGCAGATCAGAAGGCCTGGCAAACTTACCTTTGGTTAGTAGAAAATGGGAATGAAAGGGAATGAAAGGGGTCTATAAGGGTTATAGTATAAGGGATGTATAATTCAGGGGCCTTAATATTCCTGTACCCGTAACTTACCTTTGGTTAGTAGGGAATGGAGGAATGGGGTACAATTATAACTACTATTACTACCAGAAGGCCTGGCAAAGCTACCTCAAGAATCTCGCTTCCTTGAGAAGCTTCCTAAGGGCCAGGGTTTAGGGTTTAGGGGCTAGGGTTTAAGGATTCGTTGAAGGGCTACCACAAGGGCTCTATGGGGTGTCAGGGTTCCCTTAAATGTGAGGTGCCGTATTATAATAAGGAGCTAAAAGGGACCCTAATTTTGACAACCACCCAAGTATGTATAAGGGTTTTGTAGCAGGGTTTAAGGCTCCAGGGTATTTAGGCTTCTAGGGTTTGGAGGTTTCGGGCTTTAGGCTTTGGAGCTTCGGGTCCTTTTAATGGGTTCAGGGTTTAGGGTTTAGGTCTGAGGGTTTTGGGGTTCTTGGATTTGGGGCTTTGCAGATTGGTTCACTTGGGTGGGAACTGGGGCGGTTTAGGGTCCGTCACAGGGGTTGGCTCTGGAAGGGCTCTATATACTTAAAGGATCATGGGACTTAGTTATTGAGGTCATTATTAAGGTAACTATACTTATAACCGCAGTAAATAAAGGTGCTTATAACTACTAAGTCCCATGACCCTCCAAGTAGGCTTTTGGGTTTGTGCAGGGGTGGTATATCGGTACAAGGGTTCTACAAGCTCTTGGGGGCTTCAGGTTTTGGGACGTCGGATTCGGGGGCTTCTGAACGGATCCTAAAGTGGTTTACGAAGGTTTCTACCAGGGGTTGGGGCTTCGAGTTAGGTTTTGCAGAAGGATTCAGGCTTAGGGTTTAGGTTCTCGGATACAAAGCCGGCTACGAAGCCCTGCTCCGGTTACACAGGCCCGTCTATTGCCTAGATTTGCCCTTGGGCTACTACTGTCCAGCATAATCGAAAGCTTCATGTTCTCGGACAGACTAGGTAAGCTTTGCCTTCCTGGGCGTCCATAGCTCTATCAGTTCTAGCACAACATACCCAGGTTCCTGAGTAGTACCCGTTTGCCCTTTTGCTTTTTGGGTTCCCCGATTAAAACCACATCGTGGAGTAGTAAAGAGGGGACCCCTTAATATTGAGGGGCACTCAGGGACCTGGATGCTGACAGTCTACCCTCAATCTTGGAAGCCCTAAACTTGGAACATCGCGATGGCCTGCCGGAACAGCAGAGCACACCAGCTCGACGAAGACGAGCGAGAAGGTGGTTGAGCTCGACGATGAGCCTTTCAGGAACCCTAAACCCTAAACCTCTGAAACCCTAAACCCCTAAACCCCTATACCCCTCAAACCTAAATACCTAAATACCCTAAACCCTAAACCCTAAAGGTCGAAGAGGCCTTGAAGGTGCAGAGCGCGGGCCCCCAAACCCCCTCATGCTGGGCAACAACAAGGCCGCAAAGCCCGGGGCGGCCTGGGACTCTTTGCTATCCATGTCGTGGTTCTTCGAGCTTTCCACTTATGGATGCTGATCCCCAGTCCTCCGGTCGCATCACCTCCAGGTTTCGTGGGTTCGCAGTGCCACACAGTTGCGAATGCTTGCGCAGCCCAGGTTTGGAGACAGCTGCTGCTCGCAAGCGGAGCGGTGAATCTGTTGCTGAGCAGCATTCGTAGTATACTACAATATGATTCATCCCAACACGTCATTCTCGTCATGAAAGCTTCGTAATAGCATTCCCCTGCAACCCCCTTTCTCATAGTATGATCTGCCTCAAGTAGAAACCCTACAGCACACTATAGAATCTAGTAGAATACCCCCTAGGTAGACAGGGTGATGATAATATGCCATTAAACCCTAAACCCTTAAACCCCAAGCCCCAAACCCCAAACCCCAAACCCTAAACCCTAAACCCTAAAGCCCTAAGCCCCTTAAAGCCCAAGCCCTAAACCCCAAACCCTAAACCCTGAACCCTTAACCCTTAAAGCAAGCCCTAAACCCCAATCCCTAAACCCTAAACCCTAAAACCCCTAAGCCCTAAACCCAAAACCCTAAACCCTAAACCCTAAACCCTTAAAGCCCTAAACCCCTAAACCCCAAACCCTAAACTCGGTTTCTGGCGTGCCAGGCGTCTATGGCCGAACTCGCGGCCAAGACCCAGAAGAAGCTCCTCAGACCCTACAAAAAGGGGGGGTTCCCAAAATAGGGGACCCAAATATAGTAGCCTAAATAATAATAGGATCCTTGTATCAGGACCCCTAAATAAGGTATCCCTATTTTCGGAAACTCCCAAATAAGGGGTTTTGGGTTTGGGGTTAGGGGTTTTAGGTTAGGTTCCTTAAAGGGATCTGTAGGGGTGCCTTTAAAGGGATCCGTAAGAGATCTATAGGGTTTGGGTTCAGGGTTTGGGGTTTCGGGTTAGGGGTTAGGGCTTTCGGTAAAGGTTTAGGGTTTTAGGTCTGAGAGCGGTCATTCGGGTCAGGATGTAGGGTTCGGGGTTTGGCCTGTATGGGAGTTGTTCGGGAATTTAGCATTTGGGGGTGTATTGGGCTTCTTAGTAGCAGGGGATCCCTCTTCGGGTGTCTGTGTTTGGGATCCAACCGGCTAGGGATCGAAATGCTTCAGGAACCTACGTCTAGGTTGATGGCTTTGCTAGATCTAAGGTGTGCCGTTTGGGATTTAGGATGCAGGTTTACGATTGAGGGTGATGGCAAGTCCTTCGAAATCAACTTCGCCACAAGTTTGCTTTCAACCGCTAGGCCCTAAATCCTAAACCCGAAGTCCTAAACCCTGAACCATGTGCAGCGGACAGGTCGTAAAGCTTCAAACTTCCAGCTTGGATCGGAGACGGCTTGGCTCTTTTAGGCAAATCTCTCAACTCAAAAGCTGTTCTCGAGTAACTGTCTCGAGGTAACGGGTTCAATTTACGTTGAGGAATCAAGGTTTAGGGTTTAGAGTTTGGCAATTTGGGGGTTTCCGAAAATTAGGGGTACCTTCTTTTGGGCGTCCCTAGAATAAGGATCCTACCATTTAGGGTACTATCTTAGGGTCCCCTATTTTCGCCAACCCTAAACCCTACTTGAAGGCTCATGGGACTTAGTAAGCAAGGTTATAAGTAGGTTATAATTAGGCTAACCCCACTTAGGGGACTTATAACCCCAGTTATAACCTACTTACTAAGTCCCATGATCCTCTAAGTAAACCCTAAACCCTCTCATTTGGGGTTGAGGGGGTTAAGGAATCAGCCTGAGGGCTGAGGGTTCCACCACGAGGCTCGTGGCGGCTGCAGAGGACCCATCCGATGCCACTTTGAACTTCGAACCCCCCTGCCCTAGAAAGTCCAAGAATCCGTAGGTTTGGGACCGAAATATGTGACAATAATAATACTATTTTCGTGGTTCCTTATGGTACTTAATTACACTATAGTGTACCCCCCCAGACCATATTCTACTTATTAAGGCCCCTACATGCGTCTTGGTACCTTGGTTTCTGTGTTTACAGTAGAAGCTAAAAAGTTGGAAACTCAATAGCCTCAGTCCTTAAGAGTAATGTAAAAGGTGGAATCCCAGCACTATTTGGCTTTAATTCGGTTTCCTACTTTATGGAGTTTACTGTAGACCCCTAAACCCCTAGACCCCTAAACCCCTAAACCCCTAGATCCCTAACCTCCCTAAACCGTGAGGTGCAGTTGCGAGTTTTTTTGGGCCTCGCTCGCATCGGCTGTCGGGTTTAGAGTTTAGGATTTAGGGTTTAGGGTATAGGGGTTTAGGGTTTAGGGGTTTAGGGTTTAGGGTATTTCGGTTTTAGGGGTTTAGGGGTTTAGGGTTTCAGAGGTTTAGGGTTTTAGGAGTCTTTGTCTTGTTCTCGGCTTCTTGATTGGGCTTCTCCTTAGGGGGGAGTTACTAGTTTCTGCATGCCAAGAGGGGCTGGGAGCGGATGTTTCAGAGCAGTCTTATGTACACGCTGTAGTAGTGCTTCGAAGGTGCGAGTTTGGCTCGTTGAGCCTTGACGCAGTATATTCACGCGGAACTTCCAATCATGCGCTCTGGCACCAACAGCGCAAGAAGATCCATCAGAAACCTTAAACTACTGTACTATAACCCTCACCGTAGACCCTACACTTCCGAAAGCTGGTCCCGCAACCCTAAACCGTAAACTGGCCCCCAAACCCCTAAACTCCCCAAATCCAGTTGCATCCCCTAAACCCTAAAATATCAAGCCCGGGAAGACTGGGAGATGGCTAATGCCCTCAGCCGCCCCCCGAGTGGCCACAAACGTCGAGGTCTCCAGGTGGAAATGAGCTCCGGGTCAACTGGCCCGAAACATGCCCGGACCTTCTTCTTGCCGTGGGATGCAGGGACCCCGCTGTAAGCTTGCGCTGGGTTGGTTTGCAGGACCTTGCACCACACAACACTAGCCATGCTGAAGCACGGAGCGGCCACCCGACCAGGCCTCCGTTCCAACCTCAGCAGCTTGACGAGGTTATGGCGGGGCTACGCAAAGGGACCCTGTCTTTCGACCAAGTGCGGGACATGTATGGCGCCGAGGCACTGGAAATGGTACAGCTGCAATGGGCTATGCGAGAGGGTTTGGGGATCCCAGTTGCCGACCCGCTGAGAGCATCCCGTGGTCCGTGTATGACGAGGTGCACACAGCATGGGCCCAGGGCTGCTTGACAGATGAGGAAGCGGGGACGAACGCGCTCGAGGTGTTCCAGGCACGCAGGGACCTCCACCAGGTGGGTACGTGGACCGAAGAAAACGAGCCAGGAGTGACGGAACCGCCTGACCAGGGATTGACACCTCAGATCGCTATGGCGGTGGACGACCTCCTTGCGACGGGACCTACAGCAGCGGCCACAACCATAGGGGAGGGCAGTGATGTGATGCGGAAACAGCTCCGTTCCGGGCTTTGTCGCCGCTACCGAGAGACCCGGCGGACCAGTTTGAGGGGTGACGCAAGCAGGGATAGTATGCGACGGTATATGGTGGCCGGAGCCTCAGCTCAAGTACGGTGACTGACGAGGGATGTGTGTGCTTTTTTGCAGCGAGGCGACAAGAGCTTAGCTGTCCTGGCCGTCCTGGCCTCTCAGACCTTTCGGGCACTGGAGAAAAGGAGCTCAAAAAAAAAAGATAGATCCCTTAAAGGGAGCCCTAGGTATTCCTTCATTAAGGGATATTGGAATCCCCCTCAACCCCAAACCCTGCCCACCCCGAAAAGATCGAAGCAGGAAAAGCGCGACTTGCGGCGGGAGCTCGATCTGATGAAAAGCCCGACGAAGCCGGGGCCCCGCTTCGCTGGGTTTTAGGAATGAGCTTGTCTTTAGGTTTGAGGGTTTGGGGATTTAGGGGTCTGGGGCCTAGGAGTTTAGGGATTTAGGGTTTAGGGGTTTAGGGGTTCAGGATTTCGGGGTTTGGGGTTTAGGCTTGCTTTTGGAATTTTGTTCACTCCAAAGGGGGGTATTAGTGTTTCAGGGGTATATGAACGATGCTTTAGTACATCGTGACAAGAAAAATTCCTGGGTGCTTTGTTCATTTTGGGGCGTGGTTTGTCAATAAAGTTCAAGTTGCGGGTGTGGATTGTCAATATAGTTCAAGTTTGATTATGAAAGTTGTTACAGTTATGAGCATGATTATGATATTAGAAGTACTATCTGCAATAGTGGCCTCGTTCGTGTTTGTCGTAGCATGACCATCGTTACGTGTACTTTGGGCACGGCCCCCACTCAGTAATAGTTGGATCATGTTCATAGTATAGATATAGTACGGCCTTAAGAGTAGCCCAATTATACTTAGAGGATCATCGGACTTAGTAAGTAGGTTATAATTGGGGTTATAAGTCCCCTAAGTGGGGTTATCCTAATTATAACCTACTTATAACCTTACTTACTAAGTCCCATGAGCCTTCAAGTAGACTCTTACTGATTGGGGGCAGTACCTAACTTGTACTACAGCTGCTCACAGCTTCTATTGTGGGGGGCGGGGGCGGCGGGCGGCTTAGGGCCTTCGGTTCACTTTTCTGGGGTTTGTGGTATGAATGAGTGCAACAAGATCTGCAAGATCTCAAAGCACAGCAGAATAATGCTGGAAGATCTGAACTTGAAGAGAGGGGTCGGGTGCAGGAAGAGTTGAAGAATAATTTGGGCAGCTGGGACTTCTAGAGTATAGCCATCTCTACACTTCGCGGTTTGCGATTCGGGTTTTTGGGGAAGTCTTGCTTCATGGGGGTTTAGGGGTGCAGGTTGTAGGAATGTGCAGTTTTGCAGTTTAGGTAGTTGAGTTGTCCAGTGTGCTTCTTCCAACTGCAAGGAAGCCATCGTCATGGTGGTGATGGCCATCGCTTGATTGATAAGTTTTTCACCCAGCTCAGGTGTACATAGATTTACGATTTACGATTCGAGATCGAAAGAAAGAGAGCGAGAGATACACAGAGAGAGGCAGGTGTAGACATAGATGTGATGGGCAGGGGCAACGGCACAGAAAGAAGGTGAACCACGCTTTCTCAGGATGCAGTGCTTGAAACAGATGACTTCATCGGTTTACAGGGGAGCCATATCAGCTCACGCACCACGGGAGAGTTATTGAAGTGGGAGGGAACGTAGAACACTCCCAAATGCGGTGCTTCCCCATAGGCCCCATAGTAGTTCCTTTTGGGGATTACTTTATAGACTTCTAAATATGAACCCCCAAAAAGGAACTACCGTGGGGCCTTTAGGTCGAGTCTAGCATTACTCACTGTAATTACTAGGTCCCCTCATCCTTCAAGTAGGTGGACAGGATGAGGAGTCGATTCCGGAAGGAACACGGCGACGAACCTCGTTCCAAGGCTGTTGCGCAGACTTACTGTACATGCCAAGCTCAGAACCCGTATAATCTCCAAAACCTAAACCCGAAAAACCTGCACCGGAAATACGAAACCTTAAGCCCTAAACTTGAGTTCAAGTCTTCGAAAAGCAGATTTTCAGCAGACAGAATTTAAGTTGCTACATCTATGCGTTTAGGGTTTGCGTAGGGAGAAGTTTGAACCCCACACCCCGAACTCCCTACCCCTGGGTGTAAGGCTTGGGGTTACCGTGGCTTTCGGGTTGAGGGTTTATGGCTTTGGTTTTCAGCTCAGGATACCCATTAGGGCTTTGGATCTGGGTTGAAGTTTCAAAGTTTGTAGATTGGGTTTAAGCGTGGGGGCTTTTCTGATGTATTGGGTTTCGGCATTGGGTTCAGGATATGGCATTTGGCCTGTGCGGTCTGATAGGTTGAGGCTCAAGTTGAAGCTGTTTTCAAAGGGGAAAAGGAGGGACCCTAATGGGGACCCTTAGCCTATAATGGGCTATATAGTGGGTGTATAATAGCTATATCAAGGGTATATACCTAGGGGTCCTTGTTAAGGGTCCCTCCTTTTACCCTTGGATATTTGTCAGATCTGAGTCCTCCACCATGAACTGGGACGAGTGTCATGCTTGACGCAGCAGTCGAAGGGCGAAGGAGCTTGCACAGTGGGTTTTCCAGCTGCATAGTGCTACCCTGAGGATCCACTCGCTCTTGAACACATTTCAAGTTGAATCGATCGCGCATCTACGTCGCTGTTCCTGTGGAGCTGTGCGATATCAGATGTGTTCTGGTAAAGTGGAACCTCAGCTAATTCGGTAGTGTAAGAGATCGCTGGTTCCTATTGCACTTATAGAAGTTTTAAACATATTTAATGTCAAGCAGTGATAATACTATCCAGTTTTGGAAACAGGGGCACCCAAGAATTTTCTTACACTACCTGTCGTGATGATTGCCGATGAGCAGTGCCATCTTAACTCCTCCTCTCTCACCGTTAGGTAGGTGGTATTCCTTGTAGTTGTCTAGGAATTTTTGAGGATCCTGCACAGAACCCTTTACCCTAAACCCTACACCGACAGACCTCTGCGGAGAGAATGTCCTTTGCCCTTTGAGAAAAGCCCTAAGCCGTTGGGATCTTCGAAGCCCTCCCTGGATCCTAAGGAACCTTCCTTTTTAGGGTTCCCTAATATGATTTCTTTATAAGGTAGGTTACTTGGGGTCAAGGTCAGGCTTGAAAGGCAGTGCACAGCCTCATCAGCAGCCTTTGCAGACCGGCGGATCCCAAAAGTATGGGCTGCTTCTTGGGTTAGGTTTTGGGGTATGGGGTTTAGGGTTTAGGCTTTGGGGTTTAGGGTTTAGGATTTGGGGTTTAGGGTTTAGGCTTTGAGGTTTAGGGTTTCGGGTTTGGGGTATGGGCGGCTTTATGTCGTGGTTTTAAGAATTATAGGTTCCTCTGCGCTACTGTGCATGGAGACAAGCCATGAGTACCTCACGGACCTTAAACAACGCGAAGTATTGTTTCCTCAGCATGGACAACGCACGCTTTGCTCATCAGCGCTTACCGGTATTAGGGCTAGTCGTGAGGCGTGAGGCAGCACAATCATCCCTGCGATGCCCCATGAAGCTGTGTGCAGATAGTATGAACCACGATCCACACAAAACCCTTGTATACCCCGACAAGAGCCGCGTGCCACCTGACACGACCACTTGCCAGTGCATAAGACTAAGAATGCTGACAGAACCATGCTGGCTCCGAGAGTCAACCAAGGGTTTTCGGTTTGGGTTCCTAGCTGGCCATGGCTTTATTATCGAAACGGACCTCCTTGGATCCACAGGACGATTTAACATCTGCCGCAGACTGCTTGATTGTGCTCGGGAACTCGTTTCCGAAGGCTTCCGCCGACTTCTGTTGCAAGACCCTGTCCCTCAGCAGTCCAGCAAGAATCTTCTTTTGCTTACAGTTAGTTTCTGTTGTTTTTTTTGTTTTTTTGTGGAGGGGGGGGGTGTAGAAGAAACAACGTCCGACCAAAAATCTCCCAAGCAGATTAATTAATCCGAAAGCCTGGACAAGCACCCAAGGTTGGACGAGGCAGGCTGCCAGGAGGTTGAGTACAAGCGTGCTTCGCATGGTGAGGTCAGCCTCGCCACGGATTCGCTGGCGAGGGTGCTCTGCGAGCTCGTTCCAAACTCCTGCCACGATGACCCCGTGCTACTGATGGACGAAAACGTTGCTGGGTGCATGTGAATAAGCAAGTTGATCTAAGTTGCCGGCGTGAAGAAAGCCTACATGAACTTAGTCCCTTAGCACGCCGCCAGGTTGTTTCTACAACATCCTTGGCCAACTCTCTGTTGGAAGCTGCACCGACCTTTCTCCGCCGAGACCTGTTTGGCGAATTCCCGCGGATGTTACGGCCGTCGCAGCTGTGTCTCTTAGCAGTAGAGTCAGTAGAATAAGCAGCCTTTTGACTTTCTGGTGCACTAGAACCCCTACAGTACATAAAATAGTGGCCTAAATAGTTACCAGTACTATTTTGGGTGGTTCCTTACTATAACTACAGTATAATATAACCCAAAACCCTATTCCAAATTGAAGGCCCTGTATTGGCCCTACCTTTGATATTTATAAGTTTTATTCTTCATAAATATTATAATTTAGCAGGCTACCCTTTATTCCCGGAAACTCTAAGTCAAACCCTTATAGAGCCCTTTACAGGAACCCTTGTAGTACCCTTTTAGTAACCCTTTAAAGGAACGAACCCCAAGGTTAACCTTTCTTTTCTCTAGGACATTGGACAAGTAAGGTCTCGTCGCTGGCGGACGGGGAGCGAGATCCGATCTGCATATCGATCCACTGCTACTGGGCTCTGTTTTTATGTGCAGTTTTGTTTAGGGTTTATAAGGTTTAGGGCGTAGGGGTTTAGGATTTATGCAATCGGTCATGCGGACTGTCAAGAAAGGGTTTAGGGGTTGGGGTTTAGGGTTTAGCTGTTCAGCTTTTTTGTGTGGCACTTCGCTCCAAGAGATGGCATGGCAAAAGGCCTACACCCTCAACTCCAGGTTGTTATTCTTGCAACTGTTCTGAAGCTAATAGGGGCCTAAATATTTACCTTATACTATTTTGGTGTTCCTTTTGATAACGATAATATAATGGGCCCCAAAACCCTATTCTAATTAGTAAGGCCCTTTGTTGGACACCCCAAAGACCGCAGGTCATGGACCGGGTGGAACAGCTTGCTCCAAGGGAGAAAGCTCTGGCGATTCTTCCCGGACATACCGTATCTTTGCTCTTCATCACGAACCAAGCATATGTCCTTTGGGTTTCCTCTACTTTAGTGGGGATTCTGAAATGATTATGTGCAGTTTGTGTCTTTGCATAGCAAGAAGTATGCCGATGATCAGTAGACTTAGTAAGTATGGTCATCCGCAAGTTAGCTGTAGTTGTATCTACTTATGCCCCAATTAGGGCACTTGCAACCCGACTGACCGGCACTCTAAGCCAAGCTGGCTACTTTTCGTAAGGTCTGAACGTACGCTGCCGTCCGCTACAACCCTAAACCCATAAAAGCCATAATTATCCGCCTACTACCCATGAGCCTTCAACTTACCTTTGGGTTAGTAGGCAATGCAAGAATGGTAGTATCATGACTACTTAATTGTACCCCATTCCTCCATTCCCTACTAACCAAAGGTAAGTCAAGTAAGGCAAAACACCGAAGCTTTTCGGCCCGTCAGTCGGCCATTTGGCATTCGCGACTGGATCGCAGATTTGGGGTTTAGGGGTGAGCTTTTGGGGGTCGCACGGTTTCGAGAAGGTTTCTAGATTCTAGTATGTATATATATATATATATATGTTCATATATATATATATATCTATTTACATATGTACAGTAACTACGAGGTACTACAAACAAAGGGTCCTAGGGTTTTTTGGGGCCGAGACCGTGACCCCCCAACTACCGTCTCATATTCCCCAAATACCCACTATCAAGGCATACGGGCTCCATCAAAGGGGTGTTGGGGGCTCTAAACCGTGAACCCTAAACCCTAAATAGGGTATCAGGGTACTACCCGAAACCCTACAACCCTGATCCCCAAAACCCGCTTTACCTCTAGTCGCCATTGTAGTTCCTTCTTTTGGCTGACAAAAAAATCTATTATAGGATCCTAACCATAAAACTGGTTAACGAAAAAAGGAACTACAATGGAGACTATAGGTAGGTTCTAAACCCAGGCTTTACCTTAACCCCAAATGACCTACTTTTTTAAGGACTTATATGAGGAATTGATATTAGGGAACCCTAAAACGGGTAGGTTTCTTAGGGTGCAGGTAGGTTTTTACGGTTAGGATCGGATAATAGAGATTTGGTTAACCCCCAAAAAAAAGGAACTACAATGGAGACTGTAGGTACGCGGACCCTAAGGAACCTTCCTTTTTAGGGTTCCCTAATATGAGTTCTTTATATAAGTCCTTAAAAAGGGTAGGCTACTTGGGGTTAAGGTAGATTC